TTCAATGTGGTTTTCATTTTCTTAAGATATGCTTCCTTCATTGAAGAACTCCGCTTCAGCCCTGCTTTAAATATTCTTATCGTATTCTGAATTATGAATATTGTAATTAGAGCTCACAAACTTTGCTTAGTTTAGCATATTATAAATAAATCAAAGAAAAATTCCATCGATTAAAAGAGCTACCATAATTGCACGGTTTTGATTTCATTCATGCCACACACACACAGACACATAAAGGTCACAAATTGCTTTTATACTGTCAAAACACAACGAAAATAATTATAAGTTAACAACAGCTTGAATTTTAGAGGAGCTCGAAATGAGAACTTGGCCAACGATTTATGCAGCTGTTGACTTGCAGTACAAAAGGACTCCACGAGAAGCAAAAAATCCGATATAAGTAATGAAATATTTATGCATATGTCGAGTGTGTGGGCCTGAGTATGTGAGCGTGTGTGTGTGTGTGTTTATGTGTCGCTTTTATTGTTGTGTCAAATACAAAGGGATTGAAAGCGAACACACACACAAACACTCACACATGCACATAAGTCCTTATGCGGGCATAATAACAATAACGGGAGCAACGAGCAACAACTTGAATCAGCTCTAAGCATTGCCACACACACACACACACACACAGACACACTCACATATAATGCGATTGCATGTATATGTATGATATGTATATATTTAGTTAGGAGTGTCCTGTGCGCCTTCATCCTGGCCGTCGTGATTGGCGCGATAAGCACAAAAGCCGGCAGATAGAAACCAAGAGAAAACGACAACAGCTCGCACGTTAAGTGTTTATGGGATAATGCCACACATAACTATATACATGGATCTATCCATATACATATATGTACATATATATACGTTGGTTAAAGATTAGAGCAACAGCAGCCATAACAATAACACTTAAAAGCCAATGCCAAAGCCAAAGCCAGGCAGCCGAACGAGCCAAGCTTCAAGCGGTTTCTAGCTGGTGTTTAAGCATAGTATTTAAAGCTGAACCGCTGACGGCGTCTGTGGCCATCGCCTGCTGTGCGATGACACCGCAGAGACCCACGGCTCCAAATCGAGGACACTGCCCAGATGAGAATGGGGACGAGGGTGAGGATGCGGCTGCGGATGTGCATGGAAATTTGTTTAAACAGCATTTGAAATTGGGTTACAGCCGAGTTATATAAGGCCTTGGGAAGAAAACATGTGTGTGCGACTGTGTGTGTGTTTGTGTGTGGCACACACATAAATCTCAACAAATATACAACACACAGCGCTGAGCGCTCAGCGCACGCACTAAGCAACAACAAACACCAAAGTCATGGCAGGCAAATGAATTACAACGCAGGAGGAGCAGGAGCAGGAGCAGGAGCAGGAGTAGGGGAAATATACTCGTGGCTCCCTGCGAACAAGTCAAAGGCCATTGCGAATGTAAACTTCAAGAAGGCCAAATTCATTTCGTACTCAAGGCTGAAATTCGGCGAATAAACTAACAAAAATTGTCAGTGCCCTGAAAAGATTTACAACTCAGAACGGACGACATAAAAAATATGCATTCGAAGGAAATGAACACACATTTTTTAGAGCCCCATACAGCGTGGCAGAGCCAAAAGTCGAGCGAAAGTTAAAGTAAATCGTACAAAAAGAAATATATAAATGCATGGAAAGAGTATAAGTAATACAACTACGGATGATATAAATAATATAGCTAATGGAGGAGGATATAAACCAGCGGGGCTTGCAGCTAAGAAATCAAATTTAGCTCTAACTATAAACCAAAAATTAAGTCAAGTTTACTACAGATTTATAAAATTTTGTAAATAAATATATAAAGTTAAATATGAAAAAAAAAAAAAAATTTATGAAATTCAGAAAGAAGAATTTAGAAAGAAGATTTAGATTTATAATTCTTATATTGTATCAATTATTAAGCTGCTCATAAATTTTCTTAAATTTTTAAAGCACCTTACAAACAAGTATATATTGATTAAAATAAAGGTGTAAAATTTATAAAATATATATCTTATATAATTATAGCTTCCCAATTTCAAGCCAGGCTTATGTCTGTCGTACATAGTTCTGAATCCCCCTTCTAATCGTCTTCTCTTCATCCACTTACAGCTATAGCCACTCTTTCTGAATAATCTAAATAGCCATCTCGCTCTCACTCAGCAGCACCCAAAGCATAGTTCAGCTACAGCGATCGTTACTTCTCACAGAATTAGAGCATGGGAGATAGAAATGAGAGGTTCCCAATCAAGATTTAAACTCACTCTGTAAGAATCTCTATACACTAATATTACTAATGTAGAGTCGTCAAAATCGAACAGAATTTAGAGATATCACAGTAAATATATTCTACTCTTATTTTGCAGAAATATGTCATAATGTACAAGAGTCTCGGCAATGCATATAAATATATATTTATAAATTTACGAATGAATATGTATTTCATAAAGTATAAATATATATGTATTTCTTTTTTATGAACAATAAGCATAAAATCATACAATACATATTTGTGCTAAGCATATTAAAAATTATATATGATATTATTATACACATGATATTAAAGTATGAACAAGGACACACTCCCTGAATAAATGTACAACAAAAATTACGACTGAAGTCTGAAATTCATGTGGCGATTTAGTTTCGTACTTAACAGCTGAATACTTATGTGATTATATATTTTACTCTCTTTTCATGTATTAAAATCCTTCCTGTTGCATATATGATTTGGTTTGTTTTTAAGGCCAGCTCCATTTATATTGCTCTGGTTTTTTTTTTCAGAGTCAAGAAAAGTGCTTTTCCATGTTTGTGCTGCGCACCTTCCGGCTTTTTTTTTTAATTTTAGTTTTTTTTCGTTTTCTCTGCTCATGTCAGGTCAGTTTGCTAAGCATTGGAATCATTTGCTGGCCAATGGACAAACATCCTAGCAGCTCTCTACCAGAATGCCACAAATCTAAAATCTTTAGTCAGTTAAAGCCCGCAAATCGTGGCTAACGGGGCAGCGAAACAAAATAAAGAAAAAGAAGCAGAACCAGAAATAGTAAAAGAGCGAACAAACAAGCGAGCAAACAAACAGGACAACCAGAACAAACAGGGCGCACATTCAATTTAAAATTTCCTGAGTGCAGCAAGGACACGGGGAGGAGCTGAGGCTCTAGCTGAAGCTGACGTTGACGAAATGACAAACAGGAGGCGCGCATCGAGCGAACGGGCAAACTGTGCAAAGAGCACACGGGATATCCGTTTCCGTTCTAACAAGTGCCACCCTAAAAAGCAGACACACATAGACCACTCACACACACACACACATACATACAGTCACACACACTCACATATATGTATGTACTTTGCCATAGACACACAGAGTTGCAATGAAGCGCATTTCGTAGTAGCTTCCGGTGCTCATATACAGCAAAATACACTCATACATAGGCAGACACACACACACACATACACTAATGCACTCTCACACACTCTTGGATTTCTGCTACATGTAAAATTGAAATTGACATAAACACAGACACAGCCGCTTGATTGTGCGGCTTGTGTGACTGTTGCTGGCTATAAAAATGTACATAACACTCATACGCCGTGTGGCACCAAGCAACAACAACAACAACAATAGAAGATAAATGGACTGCAAAGCGGTTCACAAAGCAGGAGTGGGCTGTGGGCTGGATTGTGAATAGTCAAGCCAAGGCAAGGCAAGGCAAAGCTGACGCAGGCATTCAACAAAAAATCTTTGTTATTTCGATTCTTTTTTATCGAAATGCAGCTAATTTGATCAAATGTTCAAAACCAAACAAAATTAATGGAGAAAGGGAAAGCCAAAGAGAGAGTGCGGTGGAGTGTAATTGTGCGAGAGTGAAGGCAGCTCCTCCAGGTTGGTTTCTACTTCAATTGGCTGCGATTTAAATTTAGACCTGACTACTTGTCGGCATATGAATCAGAAATGAATAAGCTATAAAAATAGATCAAGTGCGCATCGGTAATAAAATAATATTTGGGTTAGTAATTATATAGACATTATTAGGTTTAAAAGTGTTAAGAAGGAAAAATATTAAAAAATTAAAATATTAAATATTTTTCATTTTTTAATCATCTTATGAACGTTTAATAAATATGTTGATAAATCTTTGGAGTAACTTTATTTTCTCATATCAATTTATATTCGATAAAAATGAAATGCTTGGAAATTAGTTTAAATAAAAAGTAAATAAAAATATTTCATACATAATGAATAGATAAATAGGTATAAAATTATAAAGAACCACTAAGTATTAAGTAAAATTTTGAAGTTTGTAAAACATTTCTTTAAAAATTGAAATATTTTTCGAGCTCTCCAAATAATAAAATAGATTGATAAGAAAGTTGAAATAAATTAAGGAATTAGTAATGAAAGTAAATACAAATAATTATTAAAAATTGTAAACCAATATGATACGCTCAATATTTATTATTCACATTGAAGAAGGTAAATATATACATAGATATATGTATATATACTTGCTATTTATAACAAACAACGAATATTTGATAGTGAAACCTAACAAATATTTGCTATTGAAGCAAGTCGAAAAGCCCTATGAAAGTTTAGAAATAGTAATAAAGGGGAAATAGAACAAATATGTGCTATCTATTTACAAAAAAGCACACATAATACAATATTTGTATATAGACATTTATATTATAGTTTTATATTATAATTTTTATATTTAATATTATAATATATATAATAGCTTGTGTACCTACATTTTATTTTGCAACAATAAAAATATTGAATTTACTTTGAGACTAAAATTTCATATTTTTCCATCATTAAGAAATGACATATGTGAATAATAAAAAACACAAGTTCAAATGCAAGGCCTAGAAAAGTTTATATACCCAAGTTTAAAAACTATTCACATGGTTTAAGGAGGAATAGTTGGGATAAAAATGTTTAACGACATAAAAAATACTCAAAATGAATACAAATATTCACTCACTTTGCAAATAATTCCAATTGCAGTCGATCATTAAATCCGAAAAAGAAATTGAACAAGTTTATATTTATATATATGTATGTACGTATGCGATACGTTTTACAGTTCATCCAATGTCGAATGCAGTTGTCGCGTATTTCTAGTGGATCCGCGAACACGTATACAGGTGCTACCTCTACATACATATATACATACACATACACATATGGATTTTTATTTTTATGCTGCTCATACGCTCGTTCGGCTACTTGTGGATTCTTTTGTTTCGGACTCGTTAATGCTCAATGCAATCGGCTTAGAAATGTGGATTTCTCACACAATTATTGTTAATTTGATATATCGAGAATGTTGTTTATAATATACTACTGTGTGACGATCAGGTGTGTAGAGGACTAAATGTTAATTTGTATGCGTGATTTTCATATCTTTTACTTATTCTGTGGATGCTTTGCTGGCTTTTGTGTTTTTGTTTGTGCTTTACGCGCGCGTTCGTTTCGTTTTAGTTGTTGGTTCGTTTCACACTAAGCGGCACGAAAATCATTGAAATTTTCTACTCAAGCGAAAATGTTTTCGTCTGCTGACGGCGACGGCGACGTCAGCGCCAACGGCAACTGCGGTGCAGAGCAGGAAAAACCCAAAAAAAAAAATATATTCTCATTTATTTTTTTCAACTGCAAGGAGGCAGCACTTAAGGAGAGCAAGCGAGAGAGAGAGTTCAGCAGTGCGAGAGAGAGAGAGAGAGAGAGTGTGTGTGTGTGTGAGCACTAATGGCCAGCAATGAAAAGCTTTTTCTTCTTCATTTCTTTGTTTTTGTTATGGCGCGCTACGAAGTTGCCAGACTGCCTCAATACCAACATGGCGTATGCGTAATGCGGTTTTTTAAAACGCCAAACGCTTGTTCCACAAGCCTCTATATGCTCGTGTCTAACTGCCTGAGTGCGTGTGTGTGGGAATTTAAGGGGGCGTTTTGATAATGTTTAGCGTTCATAGTTGCAGTTGTGTCTGCATCGAGCTCAATTTCTTCCTTAAAACATTGCCTGAATTTTTAAATATTTTTGCTGACACTACGTGTTTGAGAGGGTGTGCGAGTGTGTGCGCTTGGAATCACAATTACAAATTAACATAGATATACATATATCGAAATATGGCCAAGTGGATATATGACGACGCCTTGAGCATGTTGCTTGCATGACACTAAAGATAATAGCTTCAATTTTCTACATGGCTCTCTTGCTTTGGCTTACAAGAGTTATTACAAAAGCTATGAATAATAAGTTCTTTTTAGCGTAGAGTGCAAATTTGACATATTGTCTACAAGTTTCAGAAGTAATTTAATTTAATATAAAATATTTAAATTTTACTTTAAGTAATTCAACGAACTTTCTCAAGAGAAGTCTGAAAAGTTTGAGCAAGAGCTACTATTACTACTGCATGAATAAAATATATATTTGTTTTATTTTTACTTATGGTGAAATCTAAACATTTTTATTTAACATTAAATATGCAGACTAAAAAGCTTAGTTATATTTTAAAATTAAGTTTTAAATCAGGCATGTTAAATAATTCTTATTTTGGTATAAAATAAACTCAAATAAATACACATTAGGATTTATATATTATATACAAAAATACTTCTACAATTACAATACCCAGCTCTAAACTTTTTTGATCCGTCGAGCCTCAACGGAGCTGTTATAAATCCTAACGTAATGTCAATTAAGAAAACAGAATGGAAAACAACATACATATATACAATTCTAGCACTTGTCTATCTAAATTTCCGGTCCGTGAACTAAACAGAATTAAGCACAGAAAGACAGAGAAGCAGTTTGTCATGTTTAACCTTCGTGACGGACTTATTGGACCTTGAATTATAGATTAATTACAGTCGGAAACGAGAGCTGGAGGTGTGCAGCGCTCTCGAGGGCGTCACAATGATGTTTTTACAATAAAACCCTGTTCAAGGACTCGCCTGGCCACTGTCACATAGCTACACACACACACACACTCACCCACACACACGTACTTCTAAGCACACACTCATGCATTTAATATGTGCGCGTGTGTGTGGCATCTACAGGTAGCCGCAGCAACGATGCCCCCAACAGCTTGCTTCGATTTTCTAACGAAATCGAAACTCTACACTGCAAGAGAGCAGCAGCAGCAGCAGCCGAGTGGGAGAAAGACAGAGAGAGCGAAAGAAATCAGAGAGCGCAAGGAAACGGACAGAGAGAGGTAGAGCAAGAATGAGAGAGTGTGGGCAAAAGCGCTAAATGCGCTTTAGAATTGCATTTGACTGAAGCTGCATCGGAACGGCATAAAAAGTCTTAATATGCTATCTAAATTTACAGTTATCTTTTCGTTTCATTTTTTTTTTTCGTTTTTGCTTACGTTCTTGGTTTTGGTATCCCGCTGGCTGGGCTCTATTACAAATTTTTCAGTTCAGCGCTGTTAATAATTCATGACGAATATTTAGATGCACACACACACGTACACGCACATGCTGACATACTCGCGCACACACACTGAGCCAAGCACACACAGCGCGTAACTGACACAGCAACAAGAAAATGCGTTGTGTGCTTTGAGGCGCCCGCAAGGACTTGCGCTACTCTCGACTGTCCTTTGCCAACTGAAGGCACGACACGAATGTTGTTCAGCTTTAAAGCGGCGTCGAAATAGGATTGCACTTGAAGCTTCCACTGCTGACCAAGTTTCGGCTCGCCTTGCTTCGGCTCGACTCGTTGGTTCGGCTCGTCTCAGCTCGTGCCTGTGTCTATGCATGTAGGCCAAAACAGAAACGAGCCTCCTTTTTATTGAATTTTTGCGCGCACGCATCAGCAGATAAGCTTTCAATGGCACGGTAAATGTTTGGAATGTGAACGAGTGTGTGTGCGTGGCGTGTAGTCTTTCTACGGGGTGGGGTAGCTGGGCAAAGCTGAAGCGTATGCTTGCGGTAAATTGCAAGCCAGCCAAGTTGTAAACAAATCATTAAGGGGCGAACAGCAATTTGTTGGAATGATAAGCTCAGGTGAGCTTTTAAAAAAGCTTTATTCCCAAAGACCACAAAAACAATTAAAGTAATATGAAGTGTTAATTGAAGTGATATCAAAACGATAAGAATGAATTAAACCCGATAAATGAGAACCAAAAAATTCTGAATGTATAATTTTATAATAATGTTTTTTAGAATTTATATGAATGTTTTGCTATTGTTTACCTTAACAATATGCTTGGTATTTTTTAAAATGTAAACAATTTCTAATCTTAAAGCGCCCCCTGTTTCGTGAAAGCTTTGAAAAAGCTCAACTGCATCCTACAGCACAATGTAAACAATTATTGTTGATGAAAAGAGCTTTCTGCGCAAGCTCATACGATTCGTAACACAGCAACAATGATAACACAACTGAAGTCCGCTAACATAACAGCAAAAGCTTTTCACAACAACAACAATGACACTAGAACATTTTGGGTTTTTTTTTTTTTTTTGCTTTTAATTTTGTTTATTTTGAGAGCTGTTGCTGCGCTGTGGCTGTTTCAAATGTTCGCTGAGAGTTAGAACCTCATTTACGGTGGATGTACACTTATACATGCAAATACGAAAACAGGCGCACACACACATATACAAATGTATATATACATCTACATTTCGCAGGGGAAGATTTACATTGGTGCAGGGCTGTTGACAACAGGAATACGAATCAGCACTGTTATTGCTTGCATTCAGGTAACAGTAAATCGAAAAGAAAGCGATCACTAAGGCAATGAGTAACGGTAAACTGCAAGCGAAACAGAGTAAACATACTATATATAACTAAATAAATATGAGATCTGACTCATGTAGTATTTTAGTAATAGTATTTTGGCCTAAGCTATATAAAGAATTCTTAATAACAAATTAAAATAAGTACATATTTTGAAATACTTAATAAAATATCTATATACGTAATACCTATATTAAAATTAATATACCACACCTTTGGTTATTCATATTAGTTACCCATAATATTGATATATTCACTAATATGCTGTTAACGCAATTCAATTATGTTTAGCGGGAACCGAGACCACAGTGAAGCACATTTTTGTTGTTTCTGTCGTCGTTTGCTTCGTCGTTTCTGCTTTGTGTCTCTGTCTCTTTGCATTTTGTAGCGCGCAGTTGCCGTTGCTCTGTTGCTGCTGCTGCTGTTTTGTCTCTGCCTCTGAGTGTATGTGTGTGTGTGTGAGTATGCTGAGGTCTGTATGTGTGTATTGTTTGTATTATTTGTTGTTCGCTAGCAACAGCAACAATAAAAAGTTGTACTTTTGTTGTTGCCAGCTGTTGTCCGCTCGTGTGTGTGAGTGTATGTGTTGCTCTGCTCTGTGTGCGAGAGAGAAAGAGAGCAGCGTTTTGTGCGTTATTCTCTGTTTGCTGTTGTCGTCGCACAGTGGTACAATGTGTGGCAAAGAACTGATTAACCTTTTCATATAACTATTGAATTCATAAATTTGAATATGTTTTGGATAATACATTATTATTAAAATTTCAGGAAGCTCCTTACATATACTAAAAAATGAATACTGAATTTATGCTTCTGCGTATTGAGTTATACACATTTATAAACATTTATAAGTAATAACATATAATAATATTGATAATGTAATATTATAGTTTATATGGAATACAAAAAGAGTATGTACATACTATAAATAACGATATATTAGTGAATATAAATAATATTGATCAATATTATAATATATAATAATATTTGTATATGTAATTTTTTATCATGTTCTGCTAACTGTGTACCACTGTACATCGTTGCCGCTGCTTGCCTGCTGCTGCTGCTTCGACTGCTTCTGCTGCTGCTGCTGTTGCTGTTGTTTTTGTTGTTGCTCTGTTGTGTTCTACTGTAGCTGATAGATACCGAGTATCTGAGTTTGTTTAGTCGCTTTCGTCGCTTGAAACGTGAAACATACGACAACTGAAAACGAAATTAAAATTGCAACTTTTTGTACGTTACGTCAGTCGTCCGTCGCTGTTGTTGTTACAGTCGCAGTCGCAGTCGCACACGCAGTCTCTGCTGCAGTCATCAGCGCTGCTATCGTCGCCATCGTAGCAGACACTTTTTGGCGCCGTTTTGTGTGCGCGGCGGAACTGGATTAAAGAATAAGCGCGATTTGAATTTAGTATTTGGGCAAACGGTTTTTCAAAACAGCCCGGCCCGGACGCATATTGCACAGTACAGGTAAAATAAACAACATGTTCGAAACGTAAATGTTTTCGAAACAATAATATAAAAACCACCCGAGCAATAACAACAACAACAACAACAACCATGCCTTGGCTAGATAAGCAACAACAATTCACCAACAAGAAAAATTCTATATGCCATAGTGTAACTGTTTGTGTGCCAGTGTATTGTGTATGTGTGTGTGTGTGTGTTTGTGCCTTTTGTTGCTGCTGCTGCTGCTGATGCTATGCCTGTTGTTGTTGTTGTTGTCGGTGCTGCTGCTGTTGTTGTTCTATCTAACAAAGTTATTGCCTTTGCCTTCGCTGCTGCTGCTGTTGCTGCTGCTGCTGTCATGGGCAGAGGGGCCAGCGGTTTGTGGCAGGGGCTGCCGGGTATTTCTGCAAGTTTTGTGTGTGTTTTGTTAGCTTTAGAAATATTCTGTTGTTGTCGTTGTTTTTTGTGTTTTTCTTGTTTTGCACGTTGCTGTACTTTTTGTGTGCTGCTGCTGTTGTTGTTGCTGTGTTGCTATACAAATATGTCTATATGTACATATATATAGTCAGAGACGTATGAACAATACACACAATAAACATTCGACTACGTACGTATATACATACATACATAAATACAGTTATTTGTCTTCACAAATGTGTGTACACAACTAACAACGTACGTATTTTATGTTAATAGACAAATCACAATTAATATTGCCAGCTAGTTTATTGTCTGCCCTCTCTTCTACTTGTCATACTATAACAACAACCACAAGCACCGCTACAATAATAACCGTTGCGCAGGCGGTACAACAACAACAACAACAACAACGAAAATTCAGCAAGCAGCAGCAGCAGCAGAAACTACAACAACAAAGTGGCTGCTGCTGCTCTGTCTCTGCTGCGGCTGCTGCTGCTGCTGCGTCAGCGACGCTGGCAACTGTTAAAGGCGAACAAACAAAACTAACGAAAACAACAAAAACAAATGACGAATAATACAGAACATACGACAGCGACAGCGACAGCGACAGCAGCAGAAGCAGCAATGGCAATAACAAAAGCAACGTCAACAGCAACAACAACAACAACAATAGCAATAGCAACGATAACAACAACAGCCAGAACAGAAACACGCGCGCAGCGTAGCAGATGATAATGAAGTTGGCAATGTTGATAATAATGATGACGACAAAAACAACATAACAACTGTGCCACAGTGGGCCAAATATCGTGCATATTTATTGCAGAACAAACTTGTGCAAATTCAAAGTAATTTAATTAGCGGCGATTAAAATTTGTATGTATAGACATACATAGATGATAATAGAAACAACTATGCTCGAGGAGCATATGCATAGCCAGCTAATTAAGTTTGTAGTTAGTTTAGTTTTTGGCATATTTAATTATTATGCATATTTACTTTTCGACAACACATTTCATGCTCTCAGACCACTGTGCGCACGTTGTTTGTGTGCGAAACTGGTGGGCTTAGCGCAAGGTGCTGAAAGTGGCGGGAAAATTTGTTAAAGATTTTAGCGACAGCCGCAACGGAGAGCTAGAGAGACCGACAGACAGACAGGCAGAGTGTGAGAGTGAACGGGATTTATGAAGACAGAGCGAGAGAGCGAGAGAGAGAGAGAGAGCAGCATAAAGAGTGTGGAAGAGCGTGAGGCGGCGGTGCAGAGCTGAGTGGGTTGATTAGAATCAAAACAGGTAGTCGCAACAAGCAGTTGCAATAACAGTCACTGGAAGAGGGAGGGGGTGGCAGGCAGTCGAAGCATTAAACGAATCATTTGGTGAGTGAATCGGAATTGCTGTGAATATATTAACTCAAAAGCCGACTGAGCTGTTATCAAAACAGCGTAAATAGATGCATGTGTGTGTGTGTCTGTTTTTTGTATGGCGCAAAGAATGGCAAAAATTTGTTACAATAATAAAAAATAAATAAAACAGTGTGTACAGCCGAATTGCCTGTTATTCTTGTTATTTCCTTTATGGCTGTTGTTGTTGTTGTTATTGTGGCTATAATAATGCGAAAAGCAAACAATGTTGCTCATGTTGTTGTCGTCGTCGTCGACCACAAATGTCACGAAACTGCTTTGAAAAACACAACAGCGACAGCAACAACAGCGTCCAGTGTTTTATTAGGTTTCACAAAATACACAGAGCTATGACGACAGCAACAGCAACAACAACAGCAACAAAACACCAATTGCAAAAAGCTCTCTGACGTCTGCTGCTGCTGCTGTTGTTGTTGTTGCTGAGACAGCAGCAACACCAACACATACATATGCAAGCCAAAAGCACTTTGAAACAGAGCACCCAATCGCATTGAGTAAAAGTTTCTCTTGTTCTGACTGTTAGGAACAACAACAACAACAGTTGCAGTTGCTGTTGTTATCAGCATGCAGCAACAGCAGCGGCAGCAGCAGCGAGCGCATTGCAACATTAAACAGCAAACTGATTGCACATTCTGTAATTAACAGACTGCAACAATAAACAAGACAGCAACAACAACAACAACGAGTGGAACGAATATGACCACCTCAACGCCCAGCAACAACACCAGCACCAGCAGCAATACTAGTAACAACAACAACAACTACAACAGCAGCAGCAACAACAACAACGATAACAACAATCGACAGGGGGACAGCGAGCGTGCAACATCGGCAACAGCAACGGCAACTTTGTACAACAGCAACAGCCCGACTGCAACATCAGCAGCCATAGGATCAACAAATCGTGTCATGCAAGCGGACGAGGATTTCAACATACGATTCGTTAATTTGGTGCGCACGCATCGCTGTCTGTACGACAAGAAAGTGCCGGAGTATCGCAACAGGTGAGTGAGCGATGGGAGCGTGAGGCGATTAATTGATATTGGAGTCAGCAAATTGATTAACTTGGCTAAAGACATGTTAATGATGTAAAGTCGAGCGAGAAGTAAATTTGGTAGCAAATTATATGTAGACAGAGATGACAGCGTGAGACGATTCATCAGTTAATAGTAAGTGAATCTGTAAATTTAGCTGGGATGATTCATTAAGAAATGGCAGGTAGTCTTTAAATTTTTTTTGCAATGGGCGAATGAGTCCGTCATTCCAATTTAGAGTAATTGAATAAGTCTGTAAATTAAGTTAATGTATTAGTTAGTACCAGTCAAAGATGATGAATAATTCTTATTTAGTTGGTGATGATCAAGATTAAGAAGAATATCTTAGAAATGGGTGCGTGATTCGTGAAATTATAGCGCTAAATTGAGATGATTTTAATGGATATTTGCACAACGATTATAGTGTATTGTTATAACGAACAATCGTATAAGATGAAAGCTAGCCAAGAGCGTGACTCGTGTCCCGATTAATGTCTAATTGTTGCATAGTTAGTCAATAGGTGTACTTACTTGATGAGCCGTGGCGATACTGATAAGTCCAATCCAAGATGTGCAGATTTATAAATGAGAGCGTGAGTCGAAGACATGTAACTATTAGAGTCATAAAAGATGTCGACTAGATGGAATATATTCGATTCAATGGAAGTAAAGTTGTCAAAGTACAAGATAGGAAGAATCCATCATAGTAGAGCTATAAAATCTGCTAATGCTGAAGAGTCAAATAGCAAATAGAATAGTCTAAGAAAAATATAGGATAATGTTTATTCTTACTTGTCTATTTTTGTATGCCAAGTTATCTGCTTCATGAAATCCTGGTCTGATACCTGTAACGATAAGTTGGAGTAGAAACAGAAGTTATTGGAGTAGAGTGATGATGATAGTACTTTAATTGAAAATGAAAATTTCAATAGATACAATAGATTTGTATACACTATTAATACTGCTACCTTCTACCTTCTCTTATTTCCCCTACTTATGAATATTATATGACATATCTAATGGTTTCAACAACTCTTGACTTTGCAGAGACAACCAGGAGAAGGCCTGGGCGCTGATATCAAAAGAGACATGCGAGAGTGGTATGTTTGTCATTAACATACCCATTATATCAGATTCTATAAGTGCATATTTATCTCACCCCCACCTCAGTGATACACTGCAAGGAACGATGGAGGAATCTGCGTGCCTGCCTCTCGCGCTATATCAAACAGCAGAGCGGCTCGGAGCCACAGCACAAACCCTATTATCTGACCGAGCATATGGCCTTCCTGCTGCCCTTCCTCAAGTCGACGCGTAACTCGTTGGATGGCAATTCGAGCTTGGCTAGTCTCTATCAGTTCTCGCAGCAGCACTTGCACCTGCAGCAGCAGCAGCATCAGCATCAGCAGGAGCATTTGTACTGCAACAACAACAACAACAATAACAATAATAATAACAATATTGCTCTCAATGGATCACTAGAGCTGAAGCAGTCACTGTCGGAGAACGACGATGAGGAGACGATCGATGCATTTGATCCAGCCATAGCCGCAACGCTGGGCCTGCAGCGTGCTGCACCCACTCCAGGCTCCAATGTGTTGGCCGCTCCCAGCTCGCCGGCGCATAGCGAGACGGCGAGCGCGAATAGCCTACAGAACTTCATACCCGACGTGCAGCTGGCGGAGTCTGGGCAGGATCTGATATACAACGATGCATCCTCCACACCGTTGCACCATCAACTGCAGCACGCCCACAACCATGTGCTCCACCATCATCACATGCAACACCAGCAGCAACAGCAGGCGGCGCACTTCGAGCCCAGCAGCGCCAAGCGCATCAAGACCGAGTGCGATGCAGCGGGCAGTGGCGTCGCCTACTTTGGCGGACTCAGCGCAACGGAGCACACGGACATGGAGTTCTTCCGCAGCATTCTGCCGGACATTGCGGCACTGACGCCGCAGCAGCGACGCAAATTAAAAATTGGCATACTAGAACTAATCGACGAGGTTGTGGAGCGCTATCCATCACAGGAGCATTTGAACGGTGCTGTTCCTAATGGCAGTGGCAGCGGCAACTCTGCTGCTGCCGGTGGTGCTGGTGGTGGTGGCGGCGGGGGTGGTGCTGGCTCAGCTGGCAACAGCACAGCGGGGCGATACCAGCGCCGCAATTCGGGTCGGGAATACAAGTTTAAGATATAAGCACTTTAATCTATATAATTATTAGATGTTTAGTTAGATAATCTTGAACTAATTGATGCTGAGAGCTGAGAAGCTGAAGATGGGAGGAGTTGTTAGATAATTGGCAGATGAAAGCAAATACCAAAAACAGTTTATGATTGTAATTCAGTGCAAATAAGAGGCAAGTTCAGATACATTAGAAATTACTCAGATTGACAGAGCACAAGAGTCTTATAAAATGCATTTCTTATACAAATACGTATTGTGCAACAGGCAATTCGAATTATTTCAAATTATTTTTTAATTTTATCCTTCAATTCAAATATTGCAATATTTTTTATTAGACAACTTTTTGTTTCATTCAAAATATAATTAGTTTTTGAGTCAATGATTTCACTTAGCTAAATTTTAAAATTATTGTAAATTGTTTTATACAGTGAGTGATACTGATATTCGGTTTTTTATTTTTCAACTTTTTTTCCGGTTTATTTATAATTTTTGTTAGTATGTCAAATATTGATATATACCTCACCGGAAAGGTTATTTTTTAATCTACAATTTAGCATTTAGTCTTTTTTAATTTCAATTATTTTTTTTTTTTTTATAGGCCTTTGAAGTTATAGCTGAAAAAAAACGGAATATCAATGTCTCTCTATAAATTTTTTCATAATTTAAATTTGCAACTTTTTTTTTTTGAAAATTAGATTTAAAAAATAGAATATATATCCTTTTTTATTTTCTCATTTATATGTCAAATTCAACAACCATTCGTAGTAATTCATTGGGATATATGACGTAAATTTTTATTGAAATTCAATTAAATTTTTTTTTTTTTGACTTTAAAAACGCAGAAGCCTTGCAACTCCATTAATTATTCGATTATTTATCGATTATTTTTTCTGGAATTGCTTTCATTTAAAATTCAATTTTTGTAAGCCTCACTTCAATATTCAATTTGTTTTACAAAATGTTCTGACTTCAAATTAGAATGGTTTATCCTATTGTCTGATTAAATCTCTGTGAAATTGAACAACAGTCTATCCCTAGTCAGCATCGCAGCTCTTCAGCCGTTCGCTGTTCGGTGTCCAAGTGTCGTGTGCTCAATGTGCTAGTTGTAGATATTAATGAACTTAGTTGTGGCAGCTCTAGGCTGTGGCAGCGCTAATTGTTGTGTTTATCTAGGAAATATTGAATAGGATAAGCCGCTCTGTATATAGAAATGGATGTCTTGTTATAGTGCGTATTTAGGGTAAGCTATATAGAATTGATGTACAAATTCGTTGCTGTTTAGGCTAAGGCGAGAGATTCCTCAACTCGTGTCAAAGAAATAAATCAATGTATGAAAATATTACATGATATAATTGTTTTATTATAAAGCTTCAGAACATCAACATGGGGCGGCAGCTGGCAACTGCTGCATAAATTTCATTATGAGAAATGCATTCGAAATAACGCTATATAATTCATAATTCACTTTAAAGCTAAATATCGTTTTTAGGGTTGTCGTCGCTTACAACTTCGCTGCGTTAGTCTTGGGATAGAATTTCTTGGATGGATCCTTGGCCATGTCGATCAGTGTTTGGGCTGGCTTGAAGGGAGCACCGTAGAGCTCGGCGTAGGACTGCATTTTGCTGGCTAGCTTGCCGGCGCCGTACTGATCCACCCAGCGGAAGGGACCGCCTGTAAATGGTGGGAAGCCCAGTCCGAAGACAGCGCCCACATCGCCTTCCAATGGGCTGTCGAGGATCTTCTCTTCCAGGCAGAGCACAGCTTCGTTGACGAAACGCGAGACCATGCGCAATGTCAAATCCTCGGGAGTATTGGCGCCCTTGGACACTAGCGAGTACTTCTGCTTCACAATCTCCAGGGCTTCAGTGTTCACTGGACGGCTGCCCTTGCTCTGGCCATCGTACAGGAAAATGCCTTTGCCGGATTTGCGGCCCAAGAATCCTGCCAAGACCAGATCCTGCATGACTTCCAAGTTGCCGCCACTGAAGCGCTCACCGAATGATTTGGCCAAATCAACGGCAATGTGGGAGCCCACATCAATGCCAACCTCATCGGCCAATGTGGCAGCGCCCACAGGGAAGCCGAACTTCTTAGTTAACTGATCCAATTCCTTGGCGTCCACGCCCTCTTGCAGCAGTCTAGGTATATAGAAGATTAACATATCTGGTTGATAAGTAGAGGAAAGATTCCTGGACTCTCACCTTATGGCTTCGGACAACATGGTGGCCAAAATGCGCGTGGTATAGAAGCCGGGTCCGTCTCCCACGGTGATCACAACCTTGCCCTGCTTGAGACCGACGGCAACAGCTTGAGCAACGGTGTCCTTGGAGGTGCCTGGATGTGTAATGATCTCCAGCAGCTGCATCTTGTCCACGGGCGAGAAATAATGCATGCCGACCACTTTATCGGGTCGTGAGCTGCCCGCAGCTATCTTTGTTATGGGAATGGCGCTGGTGTTGGTGGCAATGACGCAGTGCTCCGGCACCACGGCCTCCAGCTCCTTGATCACACGATGCTTGATTTTGATGTCCTCAAACACAGCCTCGATCACAATGTCGGCAGTCTTGAAGTCGTTGTAGTTAAGTGTGGGCAGCAGATGCGCCAGCGTCTGGTCGCGTTCCAGAGCCGTGATGCGCTTGCGCTTAACAGCCGTTTCCAGGCCCTTCTGCACCTGCCCGATGCCGCGTGCCAGACCCGCATCGGTCGCGTCTTTCATCACCACATTGTAGCCCTTGTCCACGGAGACCTGTACGATGCCGGCACCCATGAGACCAGCGCCCAGCACACCCACAGTCTTGACGGCGCGCTGAGGCTTGCCGAAGCGATTTTTCTTGCACTCGGTCTGGCCGCGGAAGAGAGCGATCAGACCCTTCGATTCGGGTGTGGCCGAGAGTTCGCCAAAGCCCTTGCGCTCCGCCTCGTAGCCAGCATCGGTGCCCTTATCGACGCCAGTGCGAATCACATCCAGAATCTACAGAGGAGAGCAGAGCAAAGCATGAGAATCTATGCAAGGGGCGAGCAAATTTGCAGTCAGCTTACTTTCAGGGGAGCAGGATAGAGTCCTCCAGAAGCCTTCATCACCTGCTTGCGCGCGGTATCAAAGATTTTGTTCTTCACAAAATCTGTGTCCATGACGAGTGCTTGCAGCTTGTTGACCAAGCCAGATTTCTCGCGATTGACCTGAGGGGACAACCAGAATAAGCCTTTTATCTTGTATCTTATCTTATCTTAACAATCTTACGCGCAGTTTGCCGCTGGCCAAGTCGTTGGCCACTTGAATGGCCGTCTTTTCCAGGTAATCCATGGTATTCTGTTCGGCGGGCTGCAGTCCGGGGCCAATGGGATCGACGAGCAAGTCAACAATGCCCAAGCGTTTGGCGCGATCGGCACGCACCTGTTTGCCCGTCAGCTCCAGATCCAGTGCCGTGGGCACGGATGTTAGCTTGGGCAGGCGCACAGTGCCGCCGCCGCCGGGCAGCAGACCCAACATGACCTCCGGCAGACCCAGTTTCGTCTTGTTATCCTTGGTTGCAATGCGATAGTGGCAGGCAAGCGCCAGCTCCAGTCCTCCGCCTAGGCAGACGCCGCTGATGGCGGCCACAACGGGCTTGCGACTGCGCTCCAGGCGCTCAAACATCAGCTGGGCGCCGTGCGAGATGAGAGTTGCCTCCTCGGCCGTCTGGCACGCCTCCAGCATGCCGATATCGGCGCCGGCTATAAAGCAGCCCGGCTTGCCCGAGATGAGCACAGCCGAGTTGACCGAGGGATTCGTCTCCAGCTCTTTAATCACACGCTCAAACTCATCGCTCACCTCGCTGCCCAGAGAGTTGACCTTGGCATCGGGCGAGTCGAACCTAATAACGAGCACTCCATTCACGACCTTCGTGTGCAGATGCTTATTGGAGGCGGTAGCAGCGGGGGCGGCAGCCGGCGCGATCTTCGGGGCTGGATTTGTGGACATTAGGCGACGATGTAACTGCACTGATGCCGGGTACACTGGGAGTGAATAATTAATGTTAACACAGCTATCACAAAATCATATTTCATACACAGGTCCAGCATTTTCGCTATCTCTATCTCTAACGGCAATAGTACAAAGTTCAAAGTCCAATTTTCAGATTGCTAATATCTCAGCTATTAAAAAGGCTATAAATGCAGTTCTTTATCTTTAACATATAAATATGTACCACATATTGTTTTCTATCTGCATTTATCGTTCGATATGGAGCTATTATTAGTTAAAGTTATCATTGTTAAAATACCTCTGGAGCATTTATGGTGCAGCAATTGTTGTCGGGCTATTTGACCAATTGCACACAGAATTCGGGACGACATGTTTACACTGATTTGCCTATGCACAGTTCGTTGTAAATGTTACGAGTTATTATAAATAGTATTCGTATGCACTTTTAACTTGAAAATTAAATTAACTAAAAAAATTGTATAAAAAACTTCTGCCGACTTGTTGCACACTGCAAGCACCGACAACGTAAGCGAAACTATCGATGACGGAAATTGACCAGCCGCCACATTTCGTAGATAATACAAGATTGGTAAAAATGACAACTAGATGGCGCTTTAGAAATGCATTTGGCTGCAGCAGCTTGGCCAATGTAATTAGAGAGCAGGAAACTATGCAATCATGTATATATAGTAGTTTAAAAATTGTATTCGTATTTATCGAGAGGCAGACAAAGTCCTTGGTTTTACAAGTTGACTAATGTCTTAAATGTTGCTAGTTTGATATAGTGAAATAATTGTACTGAAATGCTTCATAGCTGATGGAATATAGCTGTGTGTTTTAACTTAGCGGTAGATGGCGCCATTAAACTAAACAAATGTAACCGTCTTTCAAATTCCATTGCAAATGAGTAAAACTGCAATTATAATTACTAAAATTTTGCAATTGAAAATAAAACAATTTTTGCTATTCAATTGAATGCTTTAAAACTTAATAATTGATTATTTGGTTATTAATTTATAAAATCTAGTGCAAAATTAGCTTTATACTCGCCTTGATTCAGTTAAATACGTCTAATACAACCGCTCACATATGCGTATTTATTTTCTATATTTCCATATTATATTCCATATCCACACTATATTCATTGAACTTTAACTAATTGATATATGTTCGTCATGATCAGCCCGCTGCTCTTGCAGGGTCGTTGAGGCCAGCATCATTTTGGTTGATTTTTGTGTGTCAAATACTCAAGTGTGACTTCTCGGCTGTGGTTTTTGACACATCCTGTCCATCAGAAAACACTCGGCCGATCCAGCTGCAGGAATGCAAAAAAACGATTAACTATTTAATTTATGATACGTGGCAAAAGCTGTGCGCATTCAACGTCAACTGTTGCGACAATAAAAACCCACAACAATGTGCCGAAATGTTCATCCAAAACTATTTAACGTGCCCACTTCAAAAGGACACGCCACAAAGAGAACAAACGCCTCGGCGCAAATGAGGCGCGCTTAATGCGCGGTTGAATGAGTCCTGGACGCATGCGCACAGCGCTGACCCAAGCGATGCGGCCGAGTGTCATGCGTATCCCTCAAATTGTGTCACGGGGTGGGTCAGCGTGGAAATCGCCGAGAAAACAAAGGAACAAAGAGGTAGCTGCCCAGAGCGAAAAAGAAGGTTTTCTTGCTAAAAAGAGAGATTATTCCGTATTAGATTGTGATTTTTTGATATTCGATATTTAAACTTTATTTAATACTGTTTATATAAATAAAATTACATGTTTGTGCTATATTTTACACTATTTAGTATTTGTAAATAATTTCTGGTCCATCCTTAGACCTAAGATAGATTTTCTTCCTCTTGACTTGACCCGCTGTGATTAGGGAATCAGAAATGTTCAAATACTAACTAAGAGATTCAAGAGAAAATTACAAATATATTGTAAATTAAAACCTACAGCAAGTTTAACTGATTTGCATAATATTCAAAACATATTATTTTATTAAATTACTATTTTATTATTTAATTTAAGTTTTGTATGATTATTAAAAATTCTACAATTAAATATAAAATTGTATGACAGCGTAAAAAAAGATAATTAAATAATATTAAAACAAAATTTTAAAAATATTTCTAAATTTTTTTATTAGACAAAATTTTAATTTTTGATAAGCATATTAGCGGAAATTTTAAAAATACATAAATATTTATAAATTCAGTTATGCTGACGTAAAGAGCATATCCCTTTATGTAATACTCGCCCAACTGCCACTCGAGCTGCCACTTTATATATAGATATAAACACCTAAACACATTTTTTTTTAATATTTGATAAACCAGTAATCCCTAAATGATTTTTTATGCACAATTAAAAGAGC